TTTAGTTACAGCAGACGTCACATTCCTGTATACAGTTATTGAACATTTACAGGGATGTGAAGCTATTCAATATGCACTAGCAAGCTATTCGGAATTAAAAAAAATGATCAAATCGAATACATTGTTAAATGTGTAACCTTTATATTAAGCCACAACTATTTTTTGGGTAACAACCATCACTACCTCCAAATTGAAGGCACGGCCATGGGGACCAGATTTGCGCCTAGTTATGCTAATCTATTTATGGGTAAATGGGAGGATGAACACATTTGGTCCAACAACCCATATGGCGCAAATCTGGTCTCATGGCATCGCTACATAGATGATTGCATTTTTATTTGGAAAGGGGACATTGTAACGTTGGATAATTTTAAAGAATATCTTAATTTTAATCCTTACAATTTAAAATTTACCTTTAATCAATGCACAGAAAAACTTGAATTTTTAGACTTAGAAAAAACATTTAGAAAAACAGTGGCATGTAATAGTTTCATTCCACATAACAGTTTTCACAAGAAAAGAAAAGCTGGCTGAACAACATTCCATTCAGCCAGCTTGGAAGGATCAAAAGGAACTGCTTAGAACCAGATATTTATGATGAACAGATTACAACGATGGTATCACAATTTCAAGCAAAAGGTTATTCAGCAAAAATACGTAACAGTTTTCATAAGAAAAGCTGGCTGAATGTAATGTTGTTCAGCCAGCTTTTCTTATGAAAACTGTTGTGAGGAATTAAACTATTACATGCCACTGTTTTTCTGAATGTTTGGGTTTCAATTTGATTATTTTTTATGTAAATTCTAAGTCTAAAATTCAAGTTTTTCTTAGAAGGATCAAAAGGAACTGTTCAGAACCAGATATTTGTGATGAACAGATTACAACGATGGTATCACAATTTCAAGCAAAAGGTTATTCAGCAAAAATACTTAATCAAGCTTTATCAAAAACTTCTCTTCTAACCAGAGAACAAATTTTAACAACTAAACCAAAAATTAATAATATAAATTCGGAGGTCTCAGTGTTTATAACTAGATACAACAATCATACCCATTAAACTAAAAAAAATTTGCATAAAAATTGGAGTATCCTAAAAGGTAATCCTCAATAAGATCAAATACTAGAAGATAAACCCAGAATAATATATTCTAAAGCTCCGAATTTAAGTCTGTTATTAGCTCCCACAACTAAACAAGAAAAAATACAATTACCCTAAAAGAAACCACAGGTTTCTGGAAATGTGGAAGATGTAAAGCTTGTATAAATAATCCACAACAGCCAACTAAAACTATACAATTTGCTCATCCTCAAACAAAAGATATTTTTAAAATTAAATCACAATTAACATCTGACACTATTGGTGTAATCTATTTATTAAAATGTCCATGTGAAAAATTGTACATAGGGCGTACAAAAAGAGCATTTAAAATAAGAATGGGAGAACATATTAGGAACATTAAAAAAGGACTTCATTCACATAACCTTTCCAAGCATTTTGATGTCACACATGCAAAGAATCCTGAAGGACTGAGCTTCATGGCAATACAAAAAGTAAATATTCCATGGAGAGGAGGTAACTTGGAAAAAGAATTAGATAAAGCAGAGACAAGTTGGATATTTAAACTAGAAACATTGGAACCAAAAGGACTCAATGTAGACTTTGAGCTGCGAGCCTTTTTATAGAACCTATTATTTTTAAGCTTTACTTTTATTCACATTTTTAACAATTTGGAATTATGGGTTATAAATTTAATGTATTTTATTCTATCCCTAAATAGTTAATTACATTTTTAAATCACAATTTTAATTACATTTTTCTCTCTAGTTATACCATGTATTTCTATAATTCTCTTGATTTATATTATATTAGTATTTCATGTATAGTTAGATTTTTGCAATAGTTACAACATTATCATTCCAATATGTATCATATAACACTAGTATTTTGTTAGTATGTTATTATTTAGCAATTAATTTATATGTATAGGAATCAGATTTTAAGTGAGTCTTTTATGCAACAAGTTATTTATGTAAGAGATCGTATTTTTTAAACTACATATATTTCCGTTAGTGCTTACAAATATTAATGCTGTATAATTTATTGTGGAAATGAACTAAAAGTTTGATCAAGTATGGACTAAACTTTAAAGGGTTAATATAAGCCAAAGTGGTTCTGGCTATTTAAACCCGTGAGATTTACTTGCTCAGCATCCTCTGATGAAGTGAGCAATAGACTCATGAAATGTGTAAGGACGTTCTTTCACTTTCTGGCACTTACCATAAACTCAACCGGGCTCTACTTGGAACGCAGGAAGATCGGTGACACGTACGCGGCTCTCAGCTAAGTCCATTCATCTGCCGGCAGGACGATAACACAGAACCAGCTGCTCACACCATACTTTCCTGACTCCAGTCCAGCACGAATAGTTTTTATGAAATTGTGAGTGCAATTTTTAGTTTTGTGTATAATAAATATATTTTAATACAGTAAGCACTGTGGATCTTGAACTCTTTCTCTTCCAGAACGGAGCGATCTTCATCTAAGCTACAGGTCACTCACTATGATCTGTTAGTCATTATATCAACTTTCAAGATTAGTACATTATTATTACTTTGTAATATTGCTGCATCTGCAAGAAAATCATAATATTGTACTATATTAATTCAGCTAATCCAGTATACAAACCCCAGTTTGATCATAACTGTAAATCACTGAAATAGCTAACAAAATAACTGATTGCTGTGAACTTTTATTGGATTGATACAATTGTATTCATTCAGAGACTTTTCTTTTTGTATATTGGACTCAAGGACATCTGAGCATAACACAGTGATATATTTTAACCATTGAATATAAGCTATATGATGTCTTTTTAACATTGCAACAAACAAGATTTAACATTTAAAGGTATATACCACTCCTGAATTTATATTAGATGGTTTTAACTATCTAATATTATTTCTCTTTTTATTGCATTAATAGGGATTTTTAGTGGAGTCCCCTTTTTCAGTTGAGGGTTTTACCTTTAGCTGTATTATATACTCTATAATCAAGGTCTATTTTTAGACCTTATCCTTTGATTTTTTGATACATAAACTTAGTTTGAAGTGTTTACTAGCATGGGTTGGGAGGGGGAACTGCCATTTCCACTGGAATGCCCAGGGTTACTGTGTCTTATAATAAGAACAAAGGACGGCTGGGGTAATTAGCTCAACCTAATCTCCATCCCAGTTCGTATTCTCCTTGGTGTGCCTAATTGCACTCTGTGTACTGTGATTTTTAAGAAATCTGGGGGCTTGAGAATAAAGTGTGATTCAACAAGCTGCCAGCATGAAGTGTGTATTGTCTCTTTCTGAGGTCTTGGTTAGAATAGATGCAAGTGTAAGTCATGCTAAGGAATCTTATCCATTCAAGTGTATTGCCAGTGGAACAAGCTAGTTAGTATAATCTGTAACAGCTGGAACACACAACCACAATATATATTGGTTGCTGGTAAATTGGCTACCATGCACACATAACCTTGGGGCTTAGTTGACCTGTTAGAGCTGCAGGATACATGGACACTAGCAACACTGAACTGGTACACCTTTGGTGCCAGAGATGCCAGGGCCCAGGGCCATTTCGTCACAATAGTGACATATGTAATTCAATAATGTAAATTGTCTATTGAGTTCATAGTCAAGAAACTTAAAAATGTATCTAAATGGTTTTAAATCAACTGCTGTCACATACAATAAATAGTGTGGTTTGAATGAAAGCAAGCTCCAACATTATCTTGATATCGGGCAGCTGAAGAGTTTCTATTGAAAGCAATCAAGCATATATTTTCTTCACAAGCTTGTATATAGAGGATTTTTAACATTAATTACAGCAGTGACCCTTGGAGTAACTCTTTAACCCCTTCAGGACCGAGGACGGTTCAGGACTGTCATCGGCTTTTTTGTGACGATCCTGAACCGTCCAATGTACTTACCCGATCGCCGTCATTCCCCCGGCAGCGCTCCCAGTGTGGGGAGACTGCCTGCAGCCAAGACAGTCTCCCCATGGCGGACTAGGACTCCTGTGGCCATGTGATCGCTCAACAGAGCAGTCACATGGTCACAATAGGTGTCCATGTGTCTGCCTGCAGGGGGACTGCCTGTGCTGACAGGCAGTCTCCCTGACACACACACACCAGAATCCAGCGCACTCGCTTATTCACTAAACAATGATTTCAAATCTTAGAGATTGTAATAGTTTTATTTAAAAACACCTCACCTAGGCAAAAAATGATGGGGGTTTAGTTACATTATATGATCATACATTGCATAAGCCTGCCACAACATCAATGTACCCCATCTTTGGCAGGTCCTACTCTGTCTGCTAAATGAGCTTCTCACTTGGGGAAATCCTTCCATCTCGAGTTCTCCGCAGTACAAAGCTTAAATAGGGTCCTGAGATGAGGCACTTGTAACATGGAGGGGTGCAAAACCAAGGAGCTGGCTAGACTCCTAATTATAGACATATAGGAGAAAACAAGGGTTTGGCTGCACTCACCTACACTGCTAATGCACACATAAAAATAGGAATTTACTTTACTAGTCCAGATCTCTTCAAACTTTCACCCTTGTTTCACAAGGGTGGGTCCACTAAACTCTGAATTGTGCTGAAAAGAAAATTGAATTGCTAAACTGAGACTAAGATAGCCAAAGAGTGATTATAGTTGAGTTGGAGAATTTTTACAGATGAGCTATTTGTGACTCAATTTTGCTGCTTAGTTTTTAGTTTAAATTTGTTACAGTTTAGAGCTTAGTGAATACACCCCACAGTCTCACAACTCCTGCTCTTTGCCACAATTATACTCTGTATTTTGTCTGTCCCTTGTAAAAACGAACTATCTCTCAAATGCTCTCCTTCTCCAATTTCAGTATCAGAATCTTCTTCTGGAGGCGGGCTGTCACACCCCTCTCTCAAAACATAAATTGGCCCATCCAGCTGCATTTAGTATCTTTGCAGCTGCATCCTTCGCTCAGCCTTTATCGATCTGTGTGGACAACAGGTACGTTTCATACACCATGTACTGCTCTGTCAGCATTATATCTTTATCATAGGTTGGTTTTGTTTTGTTTTTTGCTAAATTCTAAAAAGGTGGCAAATTGTAGCTAACATAGCTGAGCTGAAACTATAGCAGGTTTCTAGAATTATTTCTCGTTAACTTGCCAAAATGCTACCATTCATCTGTAGGATCTTATTTATTTTAAATGGTAAATAAGTATGTATTAATAAATGTACATAATGTCAATCAACAAACCAACTGTCTGGTGAAAACATTCCGATAGCAATCTCTGTGACTCCCTACATTATTGCTGAATGGTTATTACCATTTGTATTTAATTAGAGGTATCAGAGTTTAAAAAACAAACAAAAAAAAAACATGTTGTAAGAGAGGATAACAATCTCTATGATTCCCTAAGACTAAAGGGACAATCTAAGCAACAGAAGAGCTTTATCTTAAAGGAACATTACAGGCACCATAACCACTATAACTCACTGCCCCCCTTTTATAATCATAAGGAGTTAAATTGTTTTTGAATGCCAGGTACCACTCACTCTTCCAATACAATCTGCCTGAAGTTTCTCAACAGAAACCTACATTAGCTTTCCAGAGATAAGACTTGCTGTGCAGGGTTCTCAGGAGAGGATGGCAGGATTCAAAAACAGTTTGACTCCTGAAAATGGGAAGAAATTAGTGGAATGCTGGAATCATAAACCCTACAATAAGATGTAGTGGTTATGTTGCCTGGATGTTCAGTTAATGAAGCAGCTTTGATGCAAAGATCATGCCCTTGAGGGAGGAGTTAAATAATTTTTGCTTCTATTTATGTAGCCCAACCAACCAGTGGCTGTGACTCCAGGAAAAAAAAATGTTTTTTTTTAGTTTCAATCAGATCTTACAGCACAGTAGGAGTGAAAATGAATTTAAAATTTTAGGCCATAGTAGCCGAACTGAAAGTATAGCTGACTAAGAGTTCTATGAGTATTGCCTCATTATTTTAACATGTGTTATTGAGCTAGACTATAAGTCAAAATGCCAAAAGTATGCAACCTTTGACATAGCAGTAATTCAAAACAAATGTCTCAGTTATGTTCTTGATGTTTTATTGCAAATTCATCCTGGTGAATTGTTATTGTTTATTTTATGGTGATGAGAGACACTTTGCAAAAGATTTGCAATGCCAAACTTATTGTAAACTAAAAATATTTTAACCCCATAAGGACCAATTGCTATTAATACATCCAAGACAATCTACTCGAAAGGTGCACTTTAGGTACTATAACCACTACACAGTGTCAGAGTTGCCACCGGTGCGGCTAGTGTAACTGCACCGGAGCCCGCTAGCTCAGGGAGACCATAGGGTGGCCACTGCACTTAGGGCCACCTGATGGGTATTATTTTTTATTCCTAAACAAGAGCACGGTGGGATGCAGAGGCCCTTTAAGAGCCTGATGGTTCCTGTGCAGTATCTGCCAGCTGGGAATAAGTGATAAACAGCCTGTCACTTCCTCCCAGCTTCTCACACAGAAACCACAGGAGGGAGAGAGGAGGAGGAGATAGCATGGGGTGAGAGGAGCAACAAGAGAGTTGCTCCACAAGTTCCACCCACTACCATCAGGCAGCAGGACCACAAGCAACCACCCTCCTGGATATAAAAGGTACGCTAACAGGAGGGTGGCTGCAAATATTACAGTTATAACATGTATGTGTGGCAGATTGTGTGTGTGTATGTGTTTTTCTGTGTGCATCTGTGTGTCACGGTGTGTTTATGTCATCAATTGCATGTTTCAGTGTGTGTATTTGTGTGGGTGTGTGCATATGTCAGTGTGTGCATGTGTATTTGTCAGTCAAGGTGTGTGTGTGTGTGTGTATCTCTGTGTCAGGATGTGTGCACGTGTCAGCATGTGTGTCTGTGTGTGCATCAATGTGTCAGGGTGTGAATCTGTGTGTGTGTGTTTATGTCAGTTTGTGTATCTCTGCATCAAAATTTGTGCATGTGTCAGTGTGTACGTGTGTGTGTTTGTGTCTTATGCATCTGTGTGTGTGTGTTTATGTCAATGTGTGTCAGGATGTGTGCATGTGTCTGTTTATGTGCATTTGTCATTGTGTGTGTGTGTGTGTGTGTGTATGTGTGTCAGGGTATGCTTTTGTGTGTGTATCTGTGTGTCAGGCTGTGTATATGTCAGTGTGTGTGTATCGCTGTGTCAGTGTTTGTGAAATGCGTCAGTGTGTGTATCTTTGTGTGTATGTGTCAGTGTCTTTATATGTGTGGATCTGTGTGTTAATGTGTATGTATATATGTATGTATGTGGCAGTGTATGTGCATACATCAAAGCAATTAAGAACCAACACATCATGAAAAAACACCCCTGCAATCAAAGAACATATATTACATACTAACACACACATTCACTACACACAATACAACCCAAATGTACATTCACATTTAAAAGCCACCATAACATCCAAACACACCCCTACAATCACACGCAAACATTGCATACAAACACACCCCAGTAATAAAACACTAAAACTATATACAAAGAGCCCCTTTACTCAAACAAAAACACTACACACAAAAGGACACCTGCATTTAACAGCCAACATATCATACAAACACACATCTGCATTCACACAAGTACACCACTGCATTCCAATGGCAACAGTATATACAAATACACCCCTACATGCACACATATACTCTATACAAAAACATCCCTACATTGAAATGCACAAACACTGCTTACAAATAGAACACTGCAAGAATAGGCAAATGGTAGATCCCCACCTGGTATAATTTGTTGGAGTTTTATGACCGATAGGGATCTATCTATTGGCCACTTTTGCACAAGGGGGAGGGGGCAAATCACTTTCTGCACTAGGACCCTCTCTGCATTAGTTGCACCACTGCCACTACATCCCATTTGAGTGGATATGGTACTATCCAATACTAGCATTAATCCTGGACCTGATTCAAATTATTTTTGAAAGGATTAACACAACAAAAGGGTGTCTGTGTCTGGTTCCTTGCTCATTGTGTTGCTAATTTTGAAGTTACACTTGTGTGTTAGTAGTGTCAATTTTGTCCAAATTTGGACAGTACTGATTGGCTGAATGGTTTCATAGGGGATGGCTCCAGTAGTCTGCTAGCACCATTACCACTACACTACTATTATGTGATGAAGGGTGTGTGGTAGTGTGTGTATATATGTTTGTGTGTGTGCAGGTATCTGTGCCTCTGAATGCATTATGATAAGGAAAATTGTGAAGCTGTGTGTGTTTCTGGCATTGTGTATCAGTATGTGTGTGTGTGCTTGTATGGCATTGCTTATCTGTGTTTATGGTAGTGAATATCCTTGTGTGTATGTCTGTATGGCACTGTGTATGGCTGAGGGATTTTGTCCCAAATAGGGACTGTCTCTCCTAAATAGTGATACATGGGAAGTATGAAATTCAAATTACAGTACTGTTCACCTTTTAAAATTTGACAATTCATCTTACATGAATAAGCACCATAATCACTACAGCTCACTGTAGTAGTTACAGTACCGGGAGTTCCTGGCATCCCTTCCCGCATTGTAAGATGTAAAACCATTTTAGAATGGTTGACTTCTTACCTGGGGTCCATTAGGTACACCTGCCCAATTCCATATAAGCCGGACCTTCTGTTAGCTCTCTGGAGCTAAGCCCTAGCTAACATACCTAAGGAAGTAGAGGGGGGGGGGGAGTGGTACTCGGCAGAACAAACTATAGTTGTTATTGGACTTGTAGTGTACCTGTAAACCAATGCTATTTTGTTTGATTCATATATAAAAATATTGTCCTACCTTTCTATGCATTTGAGTTCCGTTTTGTTTTTATGTAATTATTTTCTGTGTATTGAAATAACCATATACATTTACTTTTCACTCTTGATGGATAACTTAATAAGCTTTTTTTTTTTTACTTTAAGCATTTACTTTGTACTGACGTTATCTCATATGTGCTATTTTAGTTGTTTCTATTTTCCTGTTCATCATATTATCCTATTTTTCTAACGCAGGCAAAATGATGTTTAATGAAGATTACCAATCATTGGTTCGGGGTCTTTCTGAAGTAGATTTCACAGGAACTTCCATACCTTGCAAACTGATCCTTATTGGAGACTCTGCATTTCCTGTGCTTGTGTCCCCTGCAGGAGATGTACTCATCGCTGCATCTCACTATGGGAAGGGTCGAGTGGTAGTTATGGCCCATGAGAGTTACCTGAACAGCCCAAACCTCTTGGGCTTCATGCAGAATGCAGTGTCCTGGCTGAAACCATCTGCAGAAGCTGTTATTGGAGTACACACCGGTCTGGACCTTCTTACAAAAACACTCCAAGACTCTGGTTGCACAGTTAATAAAATATCTGGCCTTACCCAAGGTCTGGGTGTTATGTGCATGGATGGCTATGACGACAGCCAGGCTAAAGACATCATCTCCTTTCTGTATGAAGGTGGTGGTTTACTAATTGCAGCCCAGGCATGGTACTGGTCTTACAGCCATAAAAATGAGAATGTTCTGCTAGATTTTCCTGGAAACAAAATAATATCGGTTTCTGGCATTTACTTTCGTGACGTATATGGTGAAAGAGGGACATTTACCGTGAGTCCAGACATCCCTCACATCCCAATGTTCTCTGAGTGAGTTTTTTCAGAATATTCACATCAAAACATACTTTTATGAAATGTAAACCAAAAAATGTTGTACTACTAGTATACCTCACTTAAAGTAATACTCAAGCGAGTTGTAGTGGTTCACAAACAGAAACTTGCAAGGACCGGCAAATATTAAATTTGACAGATGGGGATCTACCTTTTGGCCACCTTTGTGTTAGAGGGGGCCCAAGCAATTTCTTGCACCAGGTCCCTCTCTACATTAGTCCTGCCACTGCCCTAAACTCAATCAATAAATTCAATAATCCAATAATAAACCAACAATTCTAAACATCCCATACACTACAACTGTAAGCACCATAAAGATTATAATTCTCTAACAATAAGCACTTTATGTAATCTAACTCTGACCCCCTTTACCCTACCTACTCAGTTTTAACATTATAATTTACCTTGCATGCATTTACATAACATGCACTCACTATACTCACAGATTCAAACACAATACATTACAAACAGAAATACATGATTTTTTTTTCATGCAATGTCCAGCTAATAAATTCATTAAACTCACTTATCTGGGAGGGGTGAGGAGCAGAAGGCACCTTAGTATTCTTTACACTAAACATGTAAATCCTGCCCTCTTTTTTAATCCTGCCCTGTGTGAAAAGTCGTCACGGCACACCCCCGCCAAGTTGCCGGTATACAGTCACACACACCAGCAAAGGGCAGACAGTCACACAAACAGTTACAAGCCCATGCTCAGGCATGCTCAGTTGCAGGCAGACAGTCAGACAGGCTCAGTTACAGGCATGCAGACGCTCACGCACGCTGATAGGCACACACTCAGTTAAAGGCAGATAGTCACACATACAGGTACAGCTACAGCAACACACACAATTAGAGTCACACATAGGCAGAAAGTCACACACACAGCAGACAGTCAGACACACATAGCAGACAGTCACACACACACACGCAAGGCGTGGCTGCCCCTCTGAGAAACCTGGCTGGGTTTGAACTCACAGCTTCAGTTTCTGTTTGCATTATTCTACATCCTGACCCCTTGCCTCGAATGAGCAGTACTGATCCACCTGCAACCCTTTTCCAATTAGGGTTAGCTGCATCTAATTAGCAGGCTGTAAAAGCCAGCCCTATCTGAAATCTATGATCTGGTCATTTTGCCTGTTTGGTGTTTCCTGACGGATCTTTGCTTCACTACTGACTGATTTCCTGGACTCTGACCTCTGCCTTCTTTACTGACTACATTACTCCACTGCCAGCCCTGACTTCTGCTTCTCGTCTGACCCTGCCTTTGGATTTCCCCTTAATCTGTACTGCGCTTCTGTTTTTTGCCTCCTTCCTGTGCCATCTCCTGCAACTGGGCTCCAACGCCTGGTAAACTGTCACACACACACACAGAGGCAGGCAGTCACGCAAACAGTCACACACAGGCAGGCAGACAGTCACACACGCACATACACACACACACACACAGAGGCAGGCAGTTACACTAACAGGCAAACACACACACACAGCCTTACCTCTTTCATGGCTGGAAGGGGGAGTGAATGCAGTTGGTTGTTGGGGAAGCAGGGACTCCTTCCTTCTTTCCTCTTCCTGTTCGGCAGTTACTAGGGGCTTCTGGTATTAACCCCGCCTCCGCTTTGCGATAAGCCCCGCCCCCACCACTTGTTAATCTCCGCCCCCGCTGCATCTATTTTTTTATTTTTTTATAGACCCAGGTGGAGAATAATTAATCCTCCACCAGTATACATGTTTAAGCTCCCCTGACAATGTGCGAGCTGTGTCGGCCACAGGGTGCCCCCTGGTCCATGGCACCCTGTGCAGCCGCACAGCTATCACACACCCCTAAGGCCGGCCCTGTATGTATAGATGTATGATAATAACTGTAGTTACAGTTTTCTGCACCCTGTTGATATATACACTTGTTAAGATGAATGTTTCTGCTTTTTTTAGGGTTTTTGTCTGTCTTTGGATAGAAATGTAATGAATGCATTGTGAAAAAGAGAATAATTATACTGCCTGGTACATTGCTATGGGATCTCCTTCAAAACAGGACTTGGAGATAGATAGACAAAAAGGCCGAAGACCAACAGATGAATAGACAGACTTATGTGCTATGTTTTAATTGAGAGCTCCATTTAACCATGGATGTGTGCTCAAAATATCTTACAAGAAAATAATTTCTAGCATATCTTGCATGTTTTGTTAAACGGAACTTAACGATCTAGTGCAAATAGGTCAAGCATTTCCACCATGACCTCTTGAAGTAGTCATGGCGTTAGGAGTCTGGATTTCAGTGTTTCTGCTTAAAACACTGCCTATTCAGAATTATTTTTAATTGTGTCTGCAGAATTCATAAAATGCAAATCTACCCAAATATACAAATTAACAAGCCTTGTTATTTAGTTAGTGCATATAGCTGTTTCATGATCCCTGCAACCAACAGATGGTGCTATACAGGCTCCACAGCCAAATCAACCTAGGTGGTTGAGAGATTGTGCAAGACAGGAGAGCACACAAAACATTTAACACCAAACAACCATATTATACACAGCCTGCACCTCAAAATGGGCACAGGGTGATTTAAACATAGGAGTCATCTAAGGACATAATCAAAGTGCCCAACTTATGCTTCCAGTGATGGTGGCTACTTTCACATCCCTTTAGCTCATTTCAGCTTAAATATGTATGCAGATATAAACAAATCAGAGTAGCTACCAAAGTCAAAACTTGAAGATAATTGAGGGTAGTCTGTTTTTTGAAGTAGCGTGAAGGACATGATAGGTGGATACATCTTTAGTAAAACTGGTATACAAGAGAGACATAGATGTTGCAGGCTTGGTACACAGCAAGGTGGTACTTGGGTTTTACTTGTAAATTATTTCCCCTGATTACAATTCTCAAATGATTTTAAATGTATTTGTTGTCTTATTATTGATGTCTTATTATTTATGTCTTATCTATCTTAATATTGTGTTTATGAATATCTTTTTGGTTTCTTCCATGCAGAAAATATATTCTCTTTAATACAAGCTTGAGTATTACACTGAATATTCATAATTTAATGCCCTTTTATTACAGTATCAGCTTCTTGTTGGATCTGAATATTCTTCTAAAAGACATAGCCCTTCTAGACATCCGTGGGTCAAGTACCCCTTCTGAACTTCTTCTTCATGGTCCTCTAACATTTCCAGTTGGACTGAATGATGAAAACAAATGCTTCCTTGCTGCTGCAATCTATGGACGAGGACGAATTGTTGTGGGAACACATGAAACCCTGTTCACTAAACCAGAGCTCAAAACAGTTATACTAAATTCTATATTATGGCTTGGCTCAGGCAGAAAACAAAAAATTGGTGTTAATAAAGCAGTGAAAGGCTTCACTGAATTGTTGATGCAAGAAGGCTTTGATTCTAGCACATCAAGCCTAGAACCTGGGCTCAGTGTGTACTGCTGTGATTCCTATAGTGACAGTGAGGCAGAACGTATCAAGAAGTTTGTGGCCGAAGGAGGTGGACTGCTTATTGCTGGACAATCATGGTACTGGTCCTATAAGAATCCAGAAAAAAATGTGGTTTGCCAATACCCAGGAAATAAAATTCTGAACACGTTTGGGATTAGCATACTTGGTAAATCAATAGGTAATGGTGCGTATAAGCCTACAGATCCCGCAGCAGTGACAAACTACTATCATTTCCCAAGAGCATTCTCCCAGCTTTTGAAGAACCTACAAGATGGAGTGGAGATTCAACCTCCTCTCAGTTCCTGGCTGACCAATATAAGAGAAGATGCCTCCAATTTTATGAGGCTGCCAGCCTCCCCGCTTACTTATTCAATACAGCAAGAATGTGTGTGCTTAGTGAAGAGATGTGGGATTCCTAATGTCAGCAAGGATTGCCCAGTGAAAAACAACTCTAAAGATGCTTTAATCCTTAGTCTTGCACATGATGTCTGCTGTTTTAACCAAAACAGCCAGAGTATTAATAACTTTCCTTTTAAAGAAAAACCTTCAGTGACTGTGGAGATTGATGGAACAAATCCAGGTACTGCCCATGCATATGGTTTAATTGCCCTGGTAATCCTAGTAAAATTTATATATAGCAACAGGATATATTTTTCAAAATCTAATGCTTATAAAGAGCTATTGCAACTTTAAGTATAAATATTTTGGTAATGATTGTAGTGTAGTTGGAGATACAACCAGTAATTTATATTTCATTCAGTAATAGGCATAAAATCAGTCCGGACCATAAAATCAATCCAGACCAAGTAAATTAAATTCCTACCTAATAGACATGTAGTCATAATTTTTCCCCTACTACTTTCATTTTTCAGACACCAAAATCCCTTCTGTCCCTTTCCAGATGTCATGACCTCTTTCTCCCTTTCCAGCAATTACAAGTATTTCCTTCCCTCTTCCACAGTCTTGTTACTTCCTTACCTCTTCTTCACCTGTAGTTGTTGTCTCTTTAATTTTCTACATTGATGATTGCTTTTATACATTTACTAAATTCTATATTATGGCTGCTTAAAGCACAGACCCCCTCTCTCCATTATACCCTGCACAGACCCCTCTCTCCATGTACCCTGCACAGCCCCTTTCTCCATGTACCCTGCACAGACCCTCCCCCTCCCTTTCTCCATGTACCCTGGGCAGCCCCCCTCCTATTCTCCATGTACCCTGTGCAGCCCCCCTCCTATTCTCCATGTACCCTGTGCAGCCCCCCTCCTATTCTCCATCTACCCTGCGCAGCCCCCCCTCCTATTCTCCATCTACCCTGCACAGACTCCCTCCCTCTCTCCATGTACACTGCACAGCCTCCCTTTCTCCATGTACCCTGCACAGTCCTCCATACTTTCTCCATGTACCCTGCACAGACCCTCTCCTATTCTCCATGTACCCTGCACAGACTCCTTCCCTCTTTCCATGTACACTGCACAGCCTCCCTTTCTCCATGTACCCTGCACAGATCCACTTCCTCCATGTATCCTGCACAGAACCCTTTACATCATTGGTGTCCAACCTTTTGGCTGAGCACAGAGGAAATGTCTTGGGCCACACATAAAGCCTATGATATAATTAGTTTATATAATAAAACTTAAAAACCCATTTTATTTTTGTTTATTAGACAACTCTCTCATTTGTTATTATGTGGAATTGCCATATTTAAACATACCAAATTAGGGAGCTGTCTACTAAATACATACACATGTATATGCATACGGACACATAACCACAGATATACATACACACATACACTCACAGACCTATACACAGTCACATACACACACATAATCACAGATGTACACACAGACATACACATACAATCACAGACCTATACACACAATCACATACATACAATCAAATATACATACACACATAATCACAGATTTACACAATCAGACTCCCACACACATAGAATCACATACATACACAATCACAGACCTATACACACAATTACAGATATACCCACACACAATCAGACCTATGCGCACAATCACATACATTCACACACAGTCAGACCCACACACACCCAATCACAGATGCATACACACACAATCACAGACCCACACACATAATCACTGACTTATACCTGCGCACAGACCCCCCACCACACACGCAAAATCACTGACAAATCATTCACAAAAAATTACATTTATCACTGTGTAATGTAGTGTGTGTATATATACACACACATACCCTTCCTGCACCCTGCACAGAACCCCTTCCTTCACGCTGCAGTCTCCCTGCACCCGTCACATACCCTCTCCCCCACTGCACCCTACACAGAACCCCTTCATCCCTGCACTCTACACAGACAGACCATTCCCTCCCTACACTCTGCACAGACCCCTCCCTCCCTGCACCCACCCCTCCCTCCCTTCCTGCACCCTGCACAGACCCCTCCCTCCCTGCACCCTGCACAGACCCCGCTCCCTGCCTGCACCCTGCAAAGACCCCCTCCCTGCCTGCACCCTGCAAAGACCTCCTCCCTGCCTGCACCCTGCAAAGACCTCCTCCCTGCCTGCACCCTGCAAAGACTCCATCCCTCCCTGCACAGACCCCTTCCCTCACTACATACTGCACAGACCCACTCCCTGCATCCTTCACAGCCTTCATTTCTCCCTGAACTGTACTAAGTAGAGCCCCTGCACCCACGCACATGACTGGGCAGCACGCACATAATATCTAAGTATGAGGGCCTCACAAAGAAGGGGAAGGAGTAGTAGCCAAAAAAAAAAGCTTTGTACCAAGTAGGGGGCCCTTGATCTCCTATTGCCCGAGGGCCCTGTGAGTTGTCAGTCCGCCCCTGGCTGCTTTTATACATTTTTTAACACAGACAAGCATGCCCATGACACTCCCACAGAAAAAAGGATAATCCCTCCCCTATGCCTGGGAAATAATTGAGACAGGAACTGCACAAAACTCAATTATCTCCAGGCATAAAAAACACATTTCACAAACACCCCAAAAGTACCTTTCTCTATACCTCTGGCTGCTGCTGTACCTCTGGCTGCCGGTTGTCTCTCCCTGCATGATATACTGCCACTGGGGAACAAGACCGGTTGTCTCCGTTCCCTGGACCTCACTCTGCTGCTGGGGAGGAAGGACAAAACGCTTCTCTCCCTGTAACACACTCTGCCTCCAGGGAGAGAGACAAACCGTCTCTTCTCTCTTGCCCCCACACTGCCGCTGGGGATGAAGGAAGACGCACTTCTCTCCCTGTAACACACTCTGTTGCTGGGGAGAGAGACCGACTGTCTCTTCTCCCTGGCCCCACACTGCCTCTGGGGAGGAAGGAAGATGCACTTCTCTCCCTGTAACAAACTCTGCTGCAGGGGAGAGAGACCGACTGTCTCTTCTCCCTGGCCCCACACTGCCGCTGGGGAGGAAGGACGACACGCTTCTTTCCCTGTAACCCACTCTGCCGCTGGGGAGAGAGACTGACTGTCTCTTCTCCCTGGCCCCCACACTGCCGCTGGGGAGGAAGGACGACACGCTTCTCTCCCTGTAACCCTTTCTGCCGCTGGGGAGGAAGGACTTCAATGGAGTCGACTGTCTCTTCTCCCTGGCCCCCACACTGCCTCTGGGGAGGAAGGACAACACGCATCTCCCCCTGGCCTGCACACTGCCACTGGGCTGGTGGTGTCCCCCTGCCCTGTGCCCTCTTGCTTGCCAGTTCTGCTGTGCGCTGCAGGTACTCTGCCACTATTTTCCTTGTATGCTGTATGTACTTCTCAGCAGGGTTGGGCCCATAGTAAGCCGGCAGCATCTTTAGAATCTTGTCAAAATCTTCCTCACTGTAGCTGGGCACCATGCATGTTCCTTTCTGCTGGGAAGTATGATCCCGCCGCTTGCCATCAATGTAATGGAGATCCATGTACCCCGGCTGGGTACTGTAATGGATCACCTGGCACCTCTGACTGGATACCTCCATTGAAGCACACTGACACACACTCAGATACACACACACACACACACTGACATACACACATACAAACGCACTGATATACACTACATATACTCTCACTGACAAACACACATGTACTCTTTGACAGACACACAAACACATACAAACTCCCTAATAGACACACATACAATTTATTATTTTTTTAAAATGTTACTCCACCCAGCCCCCCTACCTTTGGGAGTGCTGGTATGGAGCCTCTATGTCCCTGTGGTCAAGTGGGGCTGCTGAGAGGCTGGTGTACAGGCAGCAAGGGAGCAGTGATCTCCCTGCTCAGCTCCCTCGCGTGACTCTTAGTGATGCCGGAGCAACGTCATATTCCAGCTCCAGCATCACTGCTGTGTACACGAGGGAGCTGAGCAGGGAGATCACTGCCCTCTGCTCCCTCACTGACCGTGGCCATTTTTTTTTGTTGTAAATTTTGTCTGAACCCCAATTGTATTCCCGCGGAACACCAAATAAGGAAGTTGAGTGTGACGAGACCAATCTCGCCACATTGCATTGGAGAAGCCTGGTTGCTCGCCTGCTGCCTTTGGACTATGGCCCCCTTTTAAAAGACTTTATTTTTCCATGCAGAAAAGCCATATTCATGCTTTTCTGCCGGTTGTTCGGTAGTTTCAATCTACCGAACAACCGTACGAATGACTGGACCACCTGGGAGCTGGAGTGTGCCGGCAATTAACCTCCCTGAAGCTGCGGTTAACCGCAGCTTAATTGATGAACGCTGGGTGGCCGCCGTTCGTATCCCGAACACGAGGTCGCGGCCATTTTAAACCATACGAATGAACAGCGGTGTTCGCCTCTATTTTTATGGAACTAAAATCGGACACAGTTTTGCGCGAACACCGCTGAAGCCGCCGACCTCCCTTCTTGTTCGGTGAAAGCACACGAATGACCCGGTGTTCGGTATTTTTGTGTGAATGTCTTATACCCCAGATAGGAATCCCATGGAGCCCATTCGTATGAAACTGACTGTAAAGACTTTGGCTCCATGGCGATTGAACTGTATTCGTGTAGTCTGAGTGCCATTCACCTAATAATGTGCACTCAGACCTGAGCTATCTGGGGATATGTTACATGTCTGTGGTTTATGTAGTAAATGTTACTTTGTGCATTTTAAAGTGTTATGCTGGTTTTGTGTTCCCACGTGTGTAATGGAGTTTTGCCTTTGTCTTGGGAGATAATTGAGTTACTTCCCAATTATCTCCCAGGGCAGAGGGGAGGAAGCCAGGATGCATTGTGGGAATATACTGTGACTGTGTGTCCTTTTTGTATACTTGTCTGTCCCTTGTCACAGTCTCCCATTTGGTCCCCTAGGGGAGTGTCCACCAGGTGGGAGACCTGCATAAAAGCTGGGCAGGTAGCCCTCATTAAACAGACCACTGCTTGACCCTCAACACGGAGCCTTGTCTCGTTCTTGGGGGGATTCACTGTATGCTGTTAGAGACTGATTGCCAGGAGTGTAAGCTGTTCGTCTGCTTTTCCTGTTCGCCTGCTAGCAGCTATTTGGGAGGTTCCAGTTCGGGAGTTGGAGTGCTATTTTGTATCCAGTTCGTGAGTTTTGGTGATTCTACAGTAGCTGTGCCTGTCTCTAAAAAGGGGATTATCGTCTAAGCGTTTTTTTCCCCTTTTGTGCAAAACGGTCCGTTACAATTGGTGGCAAGCGGCGGGATCGTTCCCACAGACT